TTTTTCACATTTTCTTTGCCATTTTCAATTTCATCATACAATGTCGGATCATTTTCCAAATGATATAAAACTGGAGCAGAAACTAAGCTGAAAGGAACATCTAAACAATTATTAATAGCGTTATAGGACCAAATCAAGGGAGGGAAATAGGCTTCGTACCTTTTTCGTTTATGGGTAGTAGAAACGCCTTGAGCTCCCGCGATGATTGCCAAGCCAGATGAAAGTGTTTGCCAAATAAATAGGCATATTTTTGAATCTCGCCAGAGTGCTTAGCCAATATCATAGCCGATTTACAGGCATTTCCCAATAAACTACCGCCATTAAAAATATTTCGAAGTTCCCATTCCATCTCTGTGTTACCTTTGACTTCAGCGATATTATGCGGAGCAACAGTGTCTCCGTTATCAACAATGGTTTTGATGGCGCTTGAATTACTTTTCAATATTTCCGGCGATTGCTTCTTCCATGGCAAAGGACAATTTTGTTCATCTCTGATTCCAAAAAATTCACCATCCGCCATATTTCTAATGCCGGCCATAATTAAACTCAGAATTTCCTGATTTCTTAATTTGGAAATTTCAAGTATAGATCCACCCAATAACAAATCTCCAAACAATAAGGCTATTTTATTGCCTACTAGCATATCCTTAAAATTTTCCACATCTTGGCCTGCCCTTGTCGTTTTCTGCAGATTAACTAAATTCTATAGAAAAAATCTTTTAAATTGGGCTTATAATATTACCGATATAGCTAAACTTACGCAGTGTATTATTTGTGATTTATGAATAAGTTGTGTGATTTCGGCCAAATCCCGTTGGGTGGGCAAGATGTCACCACTGCATTTTGTGAAGATACATCTTTGACCAGCTGCAGCTGCTTTTGATAATAACAGTATGATCAAACCCCAGATATGAACAGCGCTTTCGTCATTTTTCAATAAATATCTGCAACATTAAAGACAATCGTTAAGTTGGTATTTTTAATTTTGAGCTACCTAAAATATATATCAAATATATAATTGCCCAATTAATAAAATTGACCAATATATTTCACGAAAATTCGTGCTTAAAACAAATTTAAAAACTATAATAATGTGTTCATTTTTATGTAAATATTTGTAGGAGTAAATATATGAAAAAATCTTCAATTATCAAAATTGGCCATATATGAATGTGTTTCTACAAGAAGAAACGGATATGAAAATGCCTTAGTATAACCTTTCCTCTGCTCCAAAAATTTCAGGAATCTTTAATTAATGAAAATTGTTTTTGATATTTTCTTTTTAAATTTGGAAATTTTAACATTTTTTGATTTCGGTAACAGACCATTAAAAACATATGTTTAATAATATGATATATGTTTCATTTAACTCATGTTCGAAGTTCAATAAAACTGGTATGTATTGTAATACCAGGAATAAGTAAATTCAGCTTTTTTGAAAATTTTGGGAATTGTTTCTGCCTCCATGTTATCCCATTCACAAATTTCGGCTCCCTCAGCAAATCTTTTTTCAACAAAGAAAACTACATTCTAAAAGTAGAAGTTGTTGTGATTTTTTAAAGATCGAATGAAATCCAGATCTATTGGCTGAAATACAGTGTTTGCTGGCATAAATACAGTGTTTAAATTCTCTAAAATAGTATTACTAACATGCAGTTAAGCGGTTTGGACTATAATTGTTGTTAGTTAATTCAATTTACAATGTGGTGTGTACTATTGAAAATCTACAACCAATTCTTGTAATTTTAAAATTTGATCATAAAACAACTGATGTTACTGGAAAATTTTTACTCAGTAACCCAACTGTCACATCTGCTCTCTCTCTCTCAATTCATTCTCTTTTACTGGATAATTTGTACAAATATTTGTGTATTCAATACCAGGGTGCGAAGGATGATTAAAATACGCTCTTTCTCACGAATGCTCACAGGCGAGAATTCGAATGTTTTCAATTTATCGCGAATGATAAAGTTACAATGAATGAACGATCATTTGCAATCTCTCGCGAATGTTCGCATTGAGGGAAATATTCACGAACGATAAAATTTCGCTGCAAGCGTCGTCGATTCATTCTTTTGAAAAGCTCAAAAAAGAAATATTCGCGAATGTTCGCGAGCACTGTTAAAAACACCAACAAACAAAAATATCATAAAAAAGTAAAAACACAAACAACGAAAGAATGTACATATATGTAGCAGAAAGTGTGTGGAATAACAAAACACATGTCCAACAACTATTGAGTTCACGAACGTTTGTTGTTATTGTTGTTGCGTTTTGAACATTCGCGATAATTTAGGAATGTTTGTTTTCATTCGTGAGAGAATTTCAGAACGAATTTCAACCAATAAACGATGAAATAATCATTGCCCCCATTTTCGTTATTTTGAACCCTGAAGTGTTTTGACATTACGGATTGCTGGTGAATAAAAAACTTCTTCTCAGAAAATATTCAATAGAATGGGTATGTTCCAGAATCTGCAAGAATGTACAACTTTTTATTACGATAACAATTTTTCTTTTATGATATCGAAGAAAATAATACAAATTAGTAAAACTTGCATGGCATAATTATACAAGGTAGTCTCATGAAGTCATATGTTTGCAAATTTTTCATAATTTTACTTTTGACAACAGTCAGTTTTCAAAATTAAGATATAACTATAGGACGCAGGAAACTTCAAAATATTTAACATTTTGTAATTATTGTCACTGGACACGTGTTGTGCGTACATTTCGAAGGAGAATATTTTCATTTAAATTTTCAAAGCTGAATGTTGTCAAAAGAAAAAATTATGAAAAAAAATGGATACTATATTTACCATGGCATAATTACACAACATAGACTCATGCAGACATCTATGAGTCTACCTTGTGTAGTTATGCCATGGTAAATATAGTAAAAAATATGCCAAAATTAGATGGCAATACATACTTCAAAATCAACATAACAGTTAATCAGAAGTTGATAATCCATTTTTACCATTTTTACTCGGACAAATTTTTCGAGTAAAAAGTTTACAAAGAGAGCGCCATTTCGTCTTACCAGTTTTGTGAGTTCAGGAACGGGTTTCGCGTAAAAAGTTGCAAAACTTGTACAATTAGTAGATTCTTTTAGGTTCTGGAACGGAACTATTATTTATATTTATTAATATTTCTATGTTCCCTGCCTTAAAACCCTTGCGATATAAATTGTAACATCCATATTCACATCTTGAGAACAATGTGTAACTTAATAAAATATAAATTTTTAATTTGTTAAAAATATGTCAATCAACATACACTTAATTTTATGGAATTTATTTTTCATTTTATTTGAAATTGATATATAAATTTCAAATTAAAAAAGTTGCCATTATTAATTTCTCAAATGAGACTACCTTCCATAATTGTGCTATGGTAGTACGGGAACAGACAATAAAAAACGCATGGTACAATTATAAAAGGTAACAGCAAATCCCAGCTGATTTGATTCCAACGTAATACTAGTGTCAATATAAATTTGACAAATTATGTTTTTAAAAATAACCCAACAGGAAAATTGGGAACGCATACAATTTAAAATTGTTCTTTATTAAATGTGCTCCCGTATTCAATTTACTCAATCTGCCTGCTAGGAAAGTTTGAGGAAGCAAATCTTTCTTGAAAGAATTACTCGCTATTCCCAGCATTGTCATATGTGTTACACATATCTATGGCAATGGCTCAATTAAAGGAAAGATGTGGAAGCGAAAGAGATATAAATTTGATAGATTTTCATTCATGTTTTTCAATTTTTATTTTGAGGATTCGAAAATATTCCATTTTCAAAATAAAAATAATTTGATGATAATTTGTTTGTTTGTTTACATTTTTCTGTCAAATGAGTTGACACTAGTAGAACTTACAACAACAAATTTCCATGTGGTTGTTGTATCGTTTTTTGTACAACACTTGCTGTTACCTTTTATTATTATACCATGAGACGCATGGAGCAAGTTCAAAAGAGAACGATAAAAATTGCCGCAAGTAAACTCGCCTAATATAAATCAGGACTAAGATTTGTATAAAAATATAAAAAATAAGTGCCTTTGTGTATTCATGGTACAATTATAAAAGGTAACAGCAAATCCCAGCTGATTTGATTCCAACGTAATACTAGTGTCAATATGAATTTGACAAATTATGTTTTTAAAAATCACCCAACAGGAAAATTGGGAACGCATACAATTTAAAATTGTTCTTTATTAAATGTGCTCCTGTATTCAATTTACTCAATCTGCCTGCTGGGAAAGTTTGAGGAAGCAAATCTTTCTTCAAGGAATAACTCGCTATTCCCAGCATTTTCATATGTGTTACACATATATATGGCAATGGCTCAATTATAGGAAAGATGTGGAATAGATAGAAATATAAATTTGATAGATTTTCATTCATGTTTTTCAATTTTTATTTTGAGGATTCGAAAATATTTCCTTTTCAAAATAAAAATAATTTGATGATAATTTATTTGTTTATTTACATTTTTCTGTCAAATGAGTTGACACTAGTAGAACTTACAAAAACAAATTTCCATGTGGTTGTTGTATCGTTTTTTGTACAACAACACTTGCTGTTACCTTCTATTATTATACCATGTAAAAAACGTTGGGTACCGCAGTCGGAGCACGTCAGTCGTGCAAATCAAATTTACAAAAAGTTGTTTTTTCCTTTACAAAAATTTAATTTTGAATTGATTTTTTTAAATTTAATTTATTTCGTTACATATATGTACACATATGATTTGCATTTTGAATTTTATTCTGGAAAAAATGCACAAATACTATTACAGATGCTGCATGTTCGATGACGAATTTAACTTTAATGGCGAAACATCTAAGTAGCTCTACGCCTAATTGTGAGAAGTTATTCATACAAATAAATGTCGAGTTAAAATAATCGAATGAAACGAATGTGGAATATTGTTCTTTCGAACATTTTCACCATCTATATTTGTCTCTTCAGGGCATTAATACAAATTAACTTGAAATTTTACTCACTTCATATTTTTTAACATAGGGTGCTGACTTTTCGGGATTTTATTCATCAGCGTTACGGCGTCATCGTCACGAATCCATTTCAAACTCAAGTCGGTTGTTGAATAACCCACAACTCGCTTTCCTTCATTTATGGCTTGGTTCCATTCATTATTTTCATTCATCAGAGGTTCTAACCATTGTTGAGAATGTGCAGATCGTTTAAACGATTTTATTTGTTGTAGATCCTTGTGTCCTATTAGGGACTTTTGATAAATTCTATATTTAGAAACAAATTTTCTCTTCGTCGCATTCAACATTTTATCGAATTAGTTGTTTTTAAAATGTAGTATATATTGTTATGTAAATGCAGAGTTTTACTTTTGTTTCTAAACAAAAGTTATCAGTTATCACAGACTTGACACTTTGACACTTATTTTTTAACAATTGTCATATCATAACAAAATTTAGTAGGATTAGGATAACACGATTCACGAATCAAAGGCTGTTGTACAATTGTCTTGTCATTTATATTTTATTTATGTTATTTTTTTATTGCTATATTCAAGTTTCTCTACGGAGAACGTCGATCTTCACTGGTCTAGAATTGATAGTTAACTAAAGAATATGAATTAGATCTAATAACATTCGATTTTACTGCATTAATGAAAATATTCTATAATTACAGATGTTTAACTAATAATGAGATAATTAGTTATCTTTTTTTATTGATTAGGTTTATTGAGGCAAATATTAAAGTGACTGTCAGTGATTTACAAAGTGTGTATATAATTATAGTCGGACCGAGATAGTCGGTGATGTTCGGGACGTAGTGTAAAAAATAAACTTTTGTGGGGATCGCCATCGTTAGTTATCATGTATATTTATAGACAAAGCAAAAGGTAGGTTAATGGTACCTCTTATTACATTTTTTTATTTTGGAGCACTACCTA